AATGAGAAGAAATGTAAGGCCAAATATCCTCACAAACAACGCTTAAGTGAAATCAGTTTGCAACTAAGCAGTTCGAAAATTTTGCAACACGTCTGGAGAAAGACGTTCCTCGTGACGCTGTAATTCACTAGAGTAAAACGTCCGTTTATTATGTTTGTTTTTGCATAATAACTGCTATACATACCGTAGAAGCACCTTCCTTTTTGTCATCGCCGCTGACAACATGCGCCATTCTCTGCGGCTTCGGCCGCATGCTTGGCCACAAGTCACCGAAATCGGGATACATAGCCTTATTTATGAATCAGTAGTAGGTAAACGTTGCAGAAGTGTATGTATATTGTTCATTGTCAATGCTGCTTAAACAACATGCCTAACATTAAGTCAACACTCGCCTGCATTTTCGTCTTTTCCGCTTCGCGTTGCGAATGATGTCTAGGCCTACACAAAACGAAAGTAAAATGTGCGCATGTCTAAATGTAAGGGAGATCACTCGTGTTTTCCCGCAGTATATGTCTGAAATCATTCCGAAGGTGTTGTTGTTTTTGTGTATATTGAAATAAAAGAGTCCTGTTATATGGTAATACTTCAATAAACGAAAAACACAAATCACACCAACAGACATATAAAATGTAGGCCTATCGGAGCATATTTTCGTTTCTGGCTGAGCTGTAATTAGCGAGAAGGCGATATAAAAATGCAATAGCATATCTTATGATGAAAATAGAACAAAATGATGATACTGCGAAGGTAAAAAAAAACCCTTCATGTTAGAATACCAATATGGAACTAGAGAAGGACAGTGGCTAGTTCTAACATGAATCCCGGTTTCATCTGCCCCGGCCGGTTGATCCCATTTTAGTTAGGCAAGCCTGGTGTGAATCACACGGAGGCGATTTTAGAATTAATTGACAGGATCCGTATCCATTAATAGGTTTGTAATATGAACTTTTTATGTTGATCTCCTACATAATTGTAAGTTATACTCCGCCTTATATTTCGTTAAATTATCAAATTTACGTAACAAGTGCAAGCGAATTCCTAATTGACTGCCATGTTGGAAATTTCGTCAATCTTTCCGATATAGGTCAGACGTCTAAATATGGGTGTCATGACCAAATATGGAAATTGTAGTAAACATGACCGCATCAGTAGTAATACTATATTTGGCCGTGAAGGCCATATAAGGAAACGGATAACATCACGCGTGATCTAACATGTCCGTCGTTTCTTTTTTAGAGTATTTAGTAAGGATTTGTTATTTTAACGATGAACGAATATGCAATATTTTGATAACATTATAATCATAGCGTGAATCAGATATATTATTACTGATTAGCACTTTTGATTAACCTCAGTTAGTTGGAACAGGACCGCTTCATAGCTCTGACCACGCAATATATAATTGTAAACAGGGACGTAAATGTCATCAATTTTAGCCAATCACAGGACAATATTTCCGTGTAAAGGGTTAATCCAGCGACAGTTCCAAGAGTAAATACGAAGTTTTAGAAGGATACTTATTTCTAACTAAGAATAAGATTATATCCAATGACGTTTGAGTGAACTTGAGTCCGTGGTAATGGATTTTATTTGCAGTTTGTTTCGTATTACTAGAAGGTGACGTTATGTCTCGTTTATGAATATCTGAGCTCATTAACTGAAGTATTTTAACCGGAAGTTGCGTGTAGCATGCATGACCTACATTCAAGTAGCAGTTCCTGATTGAGATAAACAGGGTGCATTTTCAATAAGAATACGACGTTGTGATAAGATCATATGTTCTATAAAGAAAAGTAATGATATTTACAAGCAATTCAAGTGCATTTGAGTCCAAAGTTACGCATAATAAAGACAGTAGGTCCGGTATATGATTCAATTTAGTACCAGTGACTACCGCTAGAGGCCGTCTGTGTGAAATCGACATTTATGAATATCTGAGCTCATTAACTAAAGTAATACCAATAGCTGGCGGCTAACGCCTTAGCTAAAAAGGAAGACAGGGGAGAGTGTAGTGAAAACAGGTTCAAGCGCGCCGGTAACCCCGGGGTCGTCACGCTCGAGTGGAGCACTCTCTTGAATGCCGATACCCAACAGAGTAACACTCACTAACTTCGCTGTGCAGATTTCTGCGACCGACTAAAACCTACCGTAATAGGGGCAGAATCGGTAAGCTGAACTGTACGCCGCGAGTTAACACATGAAAGACATCCTATTTCACTTACCTTTAACTTTAATGCAGCACTTCATTGCAATCATCTGCAGTTGCATGTTAGGTTAATATGGGTTTATGTTCCATTTCCAATTGTGTATGGCAAAGTTAAAAGGAGAAAGAAAGATAAAGATCCCAAATCCCAGCCAGCACACAGATATCGGGCCGACATTGGGCCGATATTTGAATCAATATCGGCCCAATGTCGGTTAAAAAAGCGGGCCGATATCGGGCCAGCTTCCATTTGCAACACGTTTTGATGTCGGCCTGATATCGGCAAGCATATCGGCCCGATATCTATCCGTTATCGTCCCGCTATCATCCCGACTTTGGAATCATATCCCTTCGTAACTGTGATAACCATTGCATGTTGGCCCGATATCGGCCCGATGTCAACCCAACATGAAAATCACGTTCCTTCATGTACGGGTACCACTTGTGTATGTTGGCCCGATATCGGCCCGATGTCAAAACGACATGAAAATCACATTCTGGTACAACTTGTGTATGTTGGCCTGATATCGGCCCGATGTCAACCCGACATGAAAATCACCTTCCTTCAAGTACGGGTACAACTTGTGTATGTTGGCCCGATATTGGCTTGATATCGGGTCGATATCAAAAATTGTTTTCTCCAATGCAGATAAGTGTATGTTGGCCTCATATCGGCCCGATGTCAACCCATCATGAAATTGCGTTCCATCCAGTACTGGTAAAACGTGTGTATTGTTGGCCCAACCCAGGGAAATCATGGTCAGAACTCGGACAACCTGTGAATGAGGTCTGCAACTTGTTAAATGACATAGAAATCATAATAACTCCAGTCTTCGGATGTGTATAGCATATTGTCCTGCTGTTTGCTAGTACATAAAATATATAAAATTAAAATTCAAACAGTTTTCCACTGAACATGTTGCATCTTATTAAATGCAGATTTTCATTACATATTATACTGGTGTAAAAAAAGCCCATATTTTAAAAATCACAATATATATATTTAAAAAAAACACAATGGATAACTAAAATTAATATTTATTGAAAACAAACTTGAGTACAATTAATGATGATATATTCCTCAATGCAAGTTTAATAAGATACTGATTTATATACCCATAATGTAAATCAGATACATTTGCGCTCACCCATGCAAGTTATGTGGTTGACAATGCAATATCTTGTATAATAACAATCATAAAGTAAATATGGTTAAAGGAGACACTGTAAATAAAATACTTTCATTTCCCTTAAAAGGGGTGATATGAAAATGTAAATAAGACTAGTTGTACAAAAATGTTAGCAAGTCAATAACAATCAAACTAATCATACAAACATTCTACTATTATGACTGGTAATAGGAACAAAGCTACCCTTTTTCAAGACAGTAAATATCAATTAAAACAAGAACGCTCGCTGCAGTACATATTGCACCCGTAATTAAGATATACGATGGAGAGTATCACACTAAAATATTAACAAACTCCAGCTTATCCGAGGTGTAAACAGTAAAAAAAAGTATGGATAATGCTGATAAGAGAAAAAACACAAAAATCATATTATATACAATCTATGATACATTCTAACATTATTATCTGGCAAGTATCAACATCTGACTAGGTATCAAACACAAAAAGGAGTGTTTTAACAACACAAAAACATTTTGTATTGCAGTTAAAAAACAAAGCAAAAATATGTAAACAGAATGTCTTCAAATCTTTTATGGCACATATATTGGAAAAGCGTTTCATTTTATTACCAAAGAAAACAGAGTAAACATACCAGTTGATGATTAAAGTCTATTTATAATGCAAGTCTAACTAGAGTAACCGCGGGGCAGAACAATATATACGCCCGTCGAATGGCATATTGTGTTAAATATACTTTCTTACATTGAAATAAGATCTGCATCAAGAGTGGTTAGCTGACATGCTATGAAAAATGTAGGAGGAGATCTCGGACAAAAAATCAAATACCGAAATGAACAAAGGGCAATAACTTTTGGAATAATTGTTGAATCAAAATTCTTTTAAGGGAGACTCAACTTCATATCATGATTATAATGTATACCAAGTTTCAAAGAGATCGGTTGAAAAATGTAGGAGATGATTGCCGGACAAACCAAAGTTTTAGCCGGACGGACAACCTCATACCATTATACTTCCGTCAAATTTTAAAGGCGTATAAAAATTAAAATGTAAAAAGTCATGTTGCCAAGCTTTCATAAAAAATATATTGCACAAAAATACATATAGGTAGCAGAGTACAGTAGAAATGGCTTGATCTTAAAAATAAAGGGCATGTTTCAGATAAACATGGATAGCGAATTTATCCTGCACAACACACCTACATATATATATATATATATATTTATAAACTACATTTTGAATACAAATAACCCAAAATTTGACCCACGCAAGTAGTTATTTTTTTCTTAAAACCTGTCTGAAATTGAATATCACCTACTCGGTAACAGAAATACTCACTTTTTAGCATAGGTCGTTCAACTGGATTTTTCACAATATTTACACATGTGCCGAGTACAAAAATAGACTACATGAAAAGCTAGCTTTTGTTTTTTAAATATAATCCCAATTTTAGTGCTTTTTTTTTTAAAGTTTTGATACATGTAATATTACAGGGGTTATTCATTGTACAAAAATATCACCCACGGCCACCGTACGCTACTGTACACTGCTACCATAGGTTGGAAAAGAAATTTCGAGCTGCCAAGATATTATATTAAACCTACATTACAAAAATATTAATACTGCACAACAAAGTAATTTCATCAATGTTATTGTTCATCTGACACATCAGTTTCAGCATCATTGTCCAGATCATTATCGGAAATTTCCTGATCCTGTTCTCTATGATCTGGCACAGGCTCTGGCACCATGTCAACATGGCGTCTTTTTCGGCCACCATCGCGGTCTGTGGCAGTTCGTAGCCATTCTCGAGTGGCTAACTCCACCTCCAATTCCGAACAATCGGGTTTAACTTTCCTAACTGCCTCTGAAATAAATTCAAACATAGTTATCATCAAAAAGAAAAAAGTGATGAAATAAAACATACACAACATAGAAAACATTGGCGTTTCTCAGATAAAAAGTAACTTAAAATAAAAACACTTATTGAATTCTGAATATCTTTAACAATATGAATTTGTTCGAATTAGGAAAGGTGAATACTGAAAAATTATGTGATGTAATCCACTGCAGATTGAACTTTGTAGATTTGACCCAACACTTTCATATTAGGACAAAATGATACACTAAACATTTTGTACTTTATTTATTCTTGTAAATGATTAATATACAAGATACTTACTCTGTAGAACAGTAGTAAGCCGCAGCTTACCAAAGGGCATTTTCCCTTTTTTGCCATACCAGTTGTACTGGCTTGCAAGGCTTGACTTTACAGTGTTCTTAAGAACCCTCCTGACCATGTCCTTGGGTGTTTTCCCTCCAACAACAGACAGATGATTAATCTGGGGGGAAAAAATTAACATTATTAAAAAAATATATATATATATTCACTAATTACAGATCTTTGTTGAATATGACTTTTGCATTCATGTTGACTAAGTATTTTAGTGAATTGTTCTCGGCAAGGTAAGTGATCTCATTTTCATTTTTAGATAGTCTTATAATCTTTCATATGGACACGTCTATAAAATTAAATTTTTATACTTACAACAGATTTTTGGACATTTATGTCCTCCAATCTGACTTCGAAGGCATTCAATTCCTCTAAATTGTTGAGGGGAAATTCTATGTCCTCTGGTATGTCCGAACGCGAAACTGGCTCAGCAGTCTGTTGGGAGGCATTGCCTTCTACAATTTTTAGGATAGATTCCATCGTTTTTTGCTGTTTGAGCTGTGATGATTTTATCTGCTCGAGAACAGTAAACAGCCTCACGTCACGTGCTAGATAAAAAAAAGTTAAATCATATTTATGTATTGAATTATTGTCATATCAAAAATCTAGAACATATGTTAATTAACTAAATTGTTGAAACAAAATTTTAGTAGTGGAAGGTAAAATATTTTGGTAAGACTGCTTATAATATATATTTTGCTATATTGCATGTCAGAGCTAAAAAAAAAATCAGGACCCAATCTACAAGATCTATTCATTTTATATAGTATATCACTTTCTTAAAACTTAACACTGAATTACCATTAGATATTTCCTGTGGCCGACTCCTTGGAGTGTGTTGGGTCACAGCCTGTGGCCTTCGAACCCCAGTTGATGATGGCGATGGAATACTTCTTGTTATTGGCGTTGAAGCAGTGTGTTGGGTCACAGTCTGTTGCCTTCGAACCCCAGTTGATGACGGAGATGGAGTTCTTTTAGATAGTATTGGCGCTAAAGTGGTTGTTTTTGCTGGTCGTTTTTGGGCTGGCTTTGAAATCAAAGGAGTTGGGGGCACTGGTAATGGAGTTATATAGTGTTCAGTCTCCTCATCTGAAGACAGCTGCTGTGGTGCTCTGTTTTATACATAAGTTTAAATAACACTTTAGAATTTAACAAAATATATAGTCAACAATCAATACATATTAAATAAATCATTGCAAACATTTGAATAATTCAATAAGCTGTTATTGCACCACAGCAGTTAAGCTGATACAGACCGAATTTTACTAGTCTGTTGTTTGACATATGTTTCAAAAGTATTTCAGTAATCTAACACATGCATTATGTCTTACAAATATTAGCCTCTCATGATCAGAGCTCCCTGTAATAACATGTGCAACCTTTTTTACCTCGGGGTTGTTATCAAATCTACTCATTCCTGAAATGAATGTCCAAACTAACCTTACATTCATTTCAATATTTTGATTCATGATAAATTGATGAATATATATATATATATGTTTATGGTAGCAAGTATATTTTAAAAGAGTTGTTTTTAATACCTAGGGCTATGTGATTTTTATTGAAAACGTTTTTAGAAGTACTATTGAAAATTATTACTGGAAACATTTAAACAATCCATTTAAATTTGTGAGAATTTGTTAATATCCTTTATTACACAAGAATAAATAAAAGATTTTTATGTATTAACTATACCAACCATTTTCATACAAGACTCTCATTGGATAGGACTCCCATTCCTGCTCATCAGGATCCTGCTTTAATCGGACCATTTTCTGTAGTTTGGCTATATTTTGCGTATTGGGCCATAGTGCACTCGTTCTGCCAAGTCTCCAATTTTCTGGTATTATTGCCAGACACTTCTCTTCAGTGAACTCAATGAGTATATACATCCTGAATATTCAGAGCAAAGCCAGATTTTGGTGATACAACCAAATAATTATAATCATTCAATGATTGTTGAATGATTCAATGAAAAATCTTTAAACACTACCTTTATTATTTCATGTGGTGTAAAAGCTGTCTTCAGTATATAACTTGTTCTATTTTTGTAGGATTTACAATGAATGAATAAGTGGAATAGCAACAAACTTTTCATTAAATGGCATAAGAACACATTTACTAACCTCACAGAATTTTGCAGTTTTCAGTTCACAAGCCAGATCGGTTACAGTAAATATCCTCAAATCAGATGAATTCAACGGAATAGTAACAAAAATTGAAACGTCTGTGAATTCGTTATATACAACATATTTTTCCGATTCTGCATTTTCACATATTACGTTTCTTATAATACCAACTTTATTTCCAACTAAAATGCAATTATCTCCTTTACTGGCGGAGAAGAATATATCTTGAAAGTGAATTTCTTTAAACTGTAAGAAATATCTAAACTGTATGTCAACTGACCGTGGCCCTTGTACGTGAATCTTTTTAGGTATACCTAATTTGGGAATTTTACTTCTTTTTTTAAATTGATATTTACATTCTGAAAGCCTTCTTATTACCTGCTGCAAAGGAAAATTTGGTTTCCTCACAAGACGTTTTAATCTACCCAAAAAACTTTCAAAAATAAATGCTGAAAAGTTATCCATAGGTCCAAACTGTTCTACATCTTTTGCTAAATGGGTCAAACCATGAACATTGTAGACAACCTGGTCTCTCCCATACAGTCTTGCAACATCTTGTACAAAAAATACATAATATATTATGGGCATATTCTCCATACTCTCTATAAAACATTGGACTACTGAGACAATATATAGCAATGAATAACAGCAGAAAATGCTGGTATTTTATTCTTGGTAGACAATCCATAAGTACAACTGGACCTGTGTACAACAAAAACTGTCGAAACTCGGATGCCTTCCACCTCTCAATAAAATGTAAGGACCTTCCCTTCCTGAGAAATTCCCGAGGAAGGTGTGTGCTTAAACTAATCAAATTTTGAGAAATACGTTCAATAGTTCTAGCAGATATTCTACAGTTGTTTTCAAGTGGACCTTTTTTCCAGAGCATTAAAAGTCTTTTCATCACACCTAGACATACCAAGTGCATATAATCCAGTGGGAATTGTGAGACAAGACCAATCTGAAGATCACTAAATGGAGAAAGACCTGTATGATGGGGTGTATCTGCCAATTCATCATATGCAATATCAGTCCTCAAGGGTGAATTAATGTCTGGGAAAGTCATTTTACCCACCCAAGTTCCTCTTTGCATGCATTTATCACACCCATGGTATCCACTATGACCTTTTGTCTGCTTAACAAAACAACGAGCAGGTGTATCACATATCACACAAGATATAGAAACCTGTAGATCCAGGCCCATTTCTGGAATGTGTAACAAGTTCTGCTCCAAGTCTTGCATTTCACCAATAAAACATCGCAAAAAAGACTGTAGATCTGTTGGTTTGCTTTCCCCTAAATAAAGTCCAATAATAAATGGATCGGAGGACAAGGGTTCAACCACTCTACCAAGAATTGGCCAGAATTGCACATTTGAGCTTTTAAACAATGGCAAACCATCAATGTTTATGTTTAGCAACAGTGTATTTGTAGCATAGAATACGTTTGGTTCTAAATCATTAAGAAGGTTAGAAATACCCATCTTAACACCAAAATGGTGGTATGATCCACCGGCAATTTGATGAACTTCATACGTTTTTCTGGTATGGAGAAGGGTTCTTGGATCTCTTGGAAGGAAGTCATGAAAACGACCCAAAATCTGAAGAAGTTCACGTACAGCAGAGTGAGCAATGCCAAATTTTGCGACCCAACATGCCAGCTCGTCAGTTAGGCTTATATGATCATCTTCATCTAAACTTGTATGGTCATCTCCATCTAAACTTGCATGGTCATCTTCATCTAAACTATGTATATCAGAAGATGTTTCTGATGTTATTGAAGATATGTCAGACACATCATTAAAACCAGTGACATCAGATTCTAATTCCAGCATCTCTACATCATGTCTTTCACCTATCTGTGCGTTTTCAAAATGTTGAATATCATCATCAACATATGTATTTGAACAACTTGGTACTGCTTCATTTTCAACAGAACTGCATTCAGAATGAAGAGTGTCTGGGCTATCTTGATCATCACCATTATTTTGATGGTAAATAAAATTGATATGATCAACAACATTTGCCCTTATTTTTCTATACGACTTCCAATAATTACTATCTCTACCAGAACCCGCCATTTGGAAGCCACGCCACACAAGTCTACCTGCAAGTTGATGCTGTTCGACGGCCCTTTGCAGTATCGCCGTAAATGTAAATGTTTAATTTCCTATGCTGTTCAAAAGAAATTTGCTCGCGGAGTGCTATATTGAAATATGTGGTAGCGTTTTGTTTAAAGTGGGCAATTTATGTAGTCTACAGACGAACAGAAACAGTTTTTAAGACTAGATGATAAACTGAAGACAACTGATAACACCAGTTCGATCGTTGCATGCGTTACCCATTTTTCACTCAGCTATCAATGTAAACATCATTACTGTTAACGTTACTGACGATCAAAGTTACATCCAACATTAAAATATGATATAAAAGTACTATTGAAAGCTGTTTCAGAAATCACCTTTACCTTGCTTTGTCTGGTCAGGAAAATAATCGGAATTCACTGTACTTGTAGATACTTAGTAGCACGTGCACCTTCTAGTCGGCGTGTTTGTAAACGTGTTCGGTGAACCTTGGAGCGGATTTGGCGCGCTTACCGATTCGCAACTCCGCAGTGAATAATTAAACAATCACTTAAAATTTTGAAGCTTATTCATATATATGTAATAGTAATAGGAAGTAATACAATTTATTGAAATATATATGGTATAAAGGTAACAAATATAAACGGGGATTTTGAACGCATAAAACCGATAGTTCTGTACGTTGAGTTATTTTTAGATTCGCAGGCGTAACTTTGTTTGTATCAGAGGTTCAAATCCCGTTCGAAGCATTTTTTTTTTTTATATTTGTCATAAAAATAATCACCAAACCAATTGAAAATATTAAAGCTACAAAATGTAACATACATTTATTTCCAAACAGTCACTAAACTATAGTAACCGTGTACATGACATTTTCATTTCAGAATATTTATTGTTCAGATCTTAGATACAAAGGAATTGGGCAACAGGCAAAGCCTATGAGCGCCCTCTCCTTACAGTTATAAACAGTTTACACACATCATATTGAATTGAAGTAATGATAAAACATGTATATTATGTACATGAATATTGATATTTGCATGTCATTATTAATTTTTTGATAATTGTTGTACAAAAACTAGATTTTCCAAAAAAATGGCAATTAAAATGATGCTGGTGGACAGAGCACATAGTAAAAGTATGTACTGGTATCATTCCACACAGCAAAGTCATGAGATAAACAAGTAAGTGTAATCTAGTTAAAGCGTCTTGTATCTTTAACGAATCTCTTAACCATCTCCAAGATACTTATGTTCATATTGATATCAAGTCTTTGACATCCATAAAGAAAAGTCTGGGTATTTAATGGAATAATGTCATTAAAAGCAGAAATGGAGTTCAGGAGAATTTGCCTTTGATTAGTATACAGAGTACAATGGAAGAAGAAGTGATCACAGTCCTCAACAGGAGAACTACATAAGCAGGCAGGGGTATCAATTAGGTGAGATTCAAATAGATCTGAATTCAGGTTACTGGCACAGTTTCTAAGTTGACATAAGGTAATATTAAATTTTCGATCACCATTGTATTTAAAAATATCAGTACATTGGGGTTGAGAATCCATTTCATCTGAGTGTAAAAAATCTCTTTTTATAGATCCAATGGATGTCATTGTGGGATACAGGCAAGTTGGATTATTCCATTCAGACATCAGTTTCGGGAAAAAACTGGCATTATATAACTGAGTTCTTGGTATAGGAACATCAAAAATTCTATTGTGGCGAAGATGATAATTGTCAGTATTATCATTAATGTACGGTTGAATTATATCATAGACATGAGAGGGACATTTCCTATTATATATTTTATAAAAAGTAATATTTTGATGCAAATGTCTTCTTCTATTAAGTGTTATAAAACCAGATTCTCTATATAAGATAGCATGACTTGTTCCACGTCTTAACCCTAAGATAATACGTGCTGCTTCTAGTTGGATAGACTCCAAGACACTGCATTCATTCTGCGTGCAGTTTGCCCATATAATATTTGCATATTCCAGAATTGGACGTATAAATGTGATATATATAGTTTCGAGTGATTTTCTATCAATTTTGTATTTCAACATTCTAAGTATATTAATTCTTTTATAAGCTTTTTCGTATATATAGTTTATGTGGTTAGACCAATTAGCCTTGCTGTTGAAAAACAAACCTAGGTGTTTATGATTAGAAACATTAATAATTGATGATTCATCAAAATATAGGTTAGGATGCAGTGTCTCGGAGTCAACCCGCCTCGAGAAGAGCAGGGCTACAGTTTTATCTGGATTAAAGATAATTCCCCATGTTCTAGCCCAGATTGAAATTTTCCTCAAATCATCATTTAATATATTAGCACATTCTTGCCTGTGTACATGACATGAATGACGATAGCCCCAAATCGGCAAAAACATCGGCCCAATGTATGGACATTCCATATAAATGGAGATAATCAATGACACATAGATCTAACGTCACATATTTTATCTAATTTTAAATATGTAAAATAGGTTATATCTTAATTGTAGTGTGAAACTCCAGACTTACCACAAACATGCATGCTTTATATTTGCATACGTCTCTGCAAAATCATTCTAATTTTATTTTTATTTATAAGCATAAAAAAAATTGATCAAATATATTTTAATATTTAAGTTTTGAATGATGCGATATAGAATTTAAAATATCGGATCAGCATCTGC